GGGGGGGGGGGGGGGGTGGTACCATACAAAACTCAAGCACCTGATTCCTACAGTATGCTCTTAGCCACCTCTGCAGCCTTACTCTCTACCCTATGCCTCCAAATGCTGTGTGGACTAGTGCAACTAAAAGGACAGGCATAAGTCAATTTGGGGTCAACAGCTGGAATGCATAAGAGTCTCAGCATCAGTAGCTGGAGAAGCCAACCTCTTGGGAGCATCTCTGTGTGTCCCAGTTCCCAGCTACTGTTGGAATCAAAGCAGAATCCAGCAGCTGGAGCTGTAAACACTCTTCACTCAGTGGTGTCAGCAAAGAAGCAAGGGAACGTCTCACTGCCAGTGACTGCAGTGGGTAAAGGTGTTGGTATCCAACCACTGAGGTAAGGATAGTGTGTCCATCAAAACACATCTGGTGAGACAATAAGGGTTGAGTTTCTCAGTGACAACACCTGAAGCAGGAACATGGGTTACAAGACCATGTGCCTGGTAACAGCTGCTAGGGATGGCGGGGCAAAGCATATGCATCTTCCCTGCAGCTGATGTGTGTGGGGGCACATGTGAAACTTGCTAGTAAACTTCAAGGTAAACTACCCAGACAGTATGTGCCCCAGGTCAAGGGAGGGGTACCTAGCAGGCAGACAGTCCATGCTGGCATCTGGGCAGAGCCACAAGTGCAGAGTACTTCTGAGATGAGTGTGCAAGTGCCGGTATCTGTTTGCTAGTGAGCATCAGTCTGGACTAGACTGCAAACTGGAGGCCTGCACAGCAGGTAAGAGAGATCTGGGATTGAGGCAGAGCTATGGCACGGATGGGCCATGCTAGTGTTCCACAAACATGCTTCTGATTCTAGAGAGTAGGCCAGCTTGTACTTTTACTAGTGAACAGCAATCCACACCAACTGCAGAGGAGGATGGGGTGTCTGTCCCTGTTACGCAAGTCACAGTAGTGTTACACAGGGGTGTGCCTGTCTGTGCCAGTCCGTGTAGCCAGCCCTGCCCCGTGGGAGCAGGCATGCACAAGCATGTGTGCATAAGTCTCTGTCTCTCCCTGGGATACATACTCATTGCTAGTGAATATATAAGAAAACAGGAAAGCAGAAGCTGTGTCCATCAGCCTGGGACAAAGACCCTCAGGCACCTTGGTTGGCCTCCAACAGCTGGGCAAGAGGAACCTCCAGGACCAGGAGCTGCTGGAAGCAGCAGTTGCTTGTAACAGCTCTTAACAGGTACTTCTTTCAAAAGCCAGCACAGTTTACTGAAAAGCTGCATTTAAAGCTGCTATGGGCCTGGCTCCATCCTCTCGACACCCCTCCCTTCAGATACTTCTAGACATTGATGAGGTCCCTTCTCAGTCATCTCTGCTCAAGGTCTTTCCTCATAAGAGAGATGCTCCAGTCACATAATCATCTTTGTCATACCCAGGAAACCCATTAAGCCTGTAAGCATTAATTTCATTTTTCCTAGGACTGTTCATTAGAGCAACCTACATATTTTGTCAGTCTAAATATTAATATTATGAAAATTCTCCCTTGAAAGGAGCATTTTGAACTTCATTAAAAGAAACAAAATAATTCAGTCATGAATGCAATAGATTATACTAATATTATAAATATTCATTTATGTAAAAGATACAGCTTCTCACCTTTAAAGTTGAGTATGTATATGGATAATGGTATGCAAAGTAGCACACATCATCTTTGTGTTGGAAAGTCACTGTGAATGTAATTGTGTAATAGGATTTTCCTTTCTGGCCCCCAGCAGCAATTGAACTTCTTGAAAAGTGATTCCTAAATCAAAAAAAATGAAGGTAATACACACATTAGAGTAATTTTTTTCATACTATTGATTATTTCTGAACACACATTCTAAGAGTCAGAAGGATTTTTGTGACTGTATTTCTGTTCTATGTATATACAGGTTAAATACAGGTTCCCACCAGCTTTTTAACTGTTTATTATAACAGTGATACACACATTCATTGACATTGATAAAAGGTGAACAAACAAAAAGCAACAAAATAAAACAAACAAAAACCAGAAAAAGTAAACAAAGGGCTACCAACCAAGAAGGATTACATATCAATATGCTGCATCATCTGATCCTGTGTTTTAGAACTCTTCTGTTATAATAATTCCACCACAGATTACAGAAGGCTCATCACAAGGACCATGAGACCAGTATTACTGGAAGTTACTAATAGGATTTCAAATATGCATATATATGTTCCCTTAAAAGCTTCCCAGAAACAGTGTCCATTTTCTAAGAAAAGTATAAAATATTAACAGCTTAAATATTAGTAGTGTGCTTACAAAATGAGACCTTGTATATTTCTATCACATATATTACTCTCTGTAGTGACTCAGAAAAAAACCTCTTTTCACAACAGAATAACATAGATCAAGTGCAGAAAGAAGAACTTCTGCTCAAAAACTGTACCTTATATTAATCTTCAGTGTAAGATTTGCTGTATGTTTGGTTTGTGTATATACTTACTTGTAGTAACAAATATCTGTCCCAACACGAGTCCAACACGGTCGAGACCGTATCGCTTCCTGAACAGAATACATGAGGGGCTGCATGCCTGAAAGCAGAAATTCATCTCACTTTAATGCTTACCATTAAACAGAAACATATTAGCAATAATGTACCACATCAACACTTACACACAAGTCTACAAATTACCTCTACTTATTCACTCACTATCAGAGTGCATTTTCATGAATGTCTGGGTATTGTACTGTGTGCTTTTTAAACCAGACAACAAAAGATTGCTGATTTTCAGAAAATAACAACTAAAGAAAAGAGTAAGATTTATGGAAGACCAAAATGGAATGTTTAAATGAAAGCTGAGGTTTGCATGAATGGTAGACTACAAGCAGTGTTCAGTTCCACTCCATCCAACTCACACTATGAAAAGGCTTCACACGGTACACAAAAAATTGATACTATCATCCAGTCATGTAAATAACTGAAAAATAATTGATATTCCAGGACAATTTTTTAACAAGTAACTCTTTAAAGTCTATTTTTGGATATTATACTTACATTGAATACTTAATAGGAATTTAAAAAAATACATACTAATTGAGTATAATTTATTTATTAGATTATTAGCCAACCACACTGACTAATTCAATCAGTGTATAAAAAAAAAAATCAAAAGAAATTATTAAGTATGCACAACATAAAAGAAATCTAAACTGACTGATGAAGATTAGTAAGCAACTTAAAAGCATCTTATTATTGGTCAAACTACCTGGTATTCTGTGACTTTATCAGTGTGGATGAAAGCGCATGACAAAGGAGAATACAATATTACTCGCTAACAAAAGCTTGAAGCTCAAGGTGGGAGGAGGAATTTCTTCCTTCTTAAAGGAGAAATTTCAGAATATATATCAGGAAAACACCAAACAGTTTTAAGATGAGTGACATACACACTACATACACTCTCCCAGACAAGAGGAAGAAAGGCATTTTCAGCCATTTGTAAGCGTCTCAATGAGGCACACACTGCAAACACTACTTACTAGCAACAGCGATGTTCACTTAAGAACCCCAGTATTTCAAAGTAGACTTATTTTTCCTTACCATCAATAGGACAAAACTGTTTTGAAATGTCTCCACTTACATTCACATCTATCCCTACGCAGAAATAGATTAATGATGACAACTGTCATTCTCCTTGATGTGAGTGAATCAACATGTTTTGTTGCTGTACTCCCCTGCCCAATGGTCCTAAGACAATTGTAGCTGCAGTTTACCGGTAGATTTCTTCTGCTTTGGCCTCACTTACAACAAAACTTAATTTTAAAAACTGACAGCCCTTGGTTTAAGATGCATTTCTTCTTTTTAATCACAGCTATCAAAACATTTTCTAGCAATACTATTAAAATAAAGAATTTAAACTGACAACATGAATACTGCTAATCCTGTGGAGGAGGGAAGGAAGGAGCTGAGTTGACTACCACAGGTATTTTTTACATATTTCTTCTCAAAGAATGGGAAACATATCTTACCGTAGTTGAACTGACTGTTTGACTTTTCACAGTTGATGATGTTAAACCGGTAACCAATGCCAATTTTCATTCCACTGACTTCAAAGTAGAACCACTGATGATAATGATTGCTATTTATATCTGAGTTCAGAATTAGATCATACTCATTTCTGAAAATTAGCAAAATCATATCAATGATCGTAAGAAGCAGAAATAAAAGGCCTAAACCATGAAAAGTAGAGTGGAAATATCTTACTTTCTGATCTGAATAACTTTGCGCAGGTTTCCAGATTCAAATTTGGAATTAAACTTCAAAACATCTGCCTCCTCTGGTACAGAACAACTATGAGTAGAAAAAGGGACCAAAATGAATAAAACAAACTTATCTAAACCAAACAGGATTATTTTAGTCCTCACTTGTCAATTCAGAAACTATTTTGATCCTTCCTCCAAATACATCCTAGACAGCAAAAGCACTGTTATGTCAGATCAAACTTTGTATGAAATCTGATGTAAATATTATGAGTCACATCACAGAGAAGTAGAATGGGCTTAGAGTATTACTTGAATATTGTTTACAGAAAGGTAAAAACTTACCTCAGATTATCAAGGTCATATACAACTCTATCTATAATGTCATTTTGATAAATCAACCTTTCAATATCTTGACAGATTTTCGTCCTAAAAAAGAAAAGCAGAGTTCTCACTTAAATTGTTACTTACTGTTTCCAATCACAAAAGAGGAATTGCCTCATACAGGAAAACTAATGAAGTTGACATGAAGACAGTGGTACAGTTCAGACAGACCTCAGCTTCACCCCCACTTATGTGTGCAAAGTCAACGTGTACTTAAGCTTAAACACCTGCATTCAGAGCTGCCTGAATCCAGTATTTGTACATGAGGGAACTGAGTTTTCATTCACACAACTCACTGGGTTCTATCTGAAGGAAAAAAATTGAGTTTCATACTTTAAAACAGAAGCAGAAATTACTCAAACATTACTTATGTTAATGCTTTAACACATGACAACACTTGATAACATTAGTAACTTAAATGAATCCTACCATAACCAAAATTAAAGAGTTTTAGAGAGTAGGTCGTACAGTAAGTGTGTTAGTGAACTAGCTTTTCACCTCTGGAGGTTTAGGTTCATTTATTGACTACATAACAAATAAGAAAGAATTTGGTGATGTCAGCCAAATGTCAGGTCTGTGCTTATCCACATCATAAAACCATTGCACAACTTGGGCAGTATCTAGGTCCTGGCTTGGAAAAGTAAGAATGTGTTGCAGTTCAAGAATGAAATATAGTGGCAGAGCTGTGTGGAAAAGCTTGCACAGCACCTGCAATAAGAAGAAAAGGAGGTAGATTAACAATGAAGAATATAGAAACAGAATGGTATAGTACATTCAGGCTGGAAATTCTCAATTTAATTAAAATAAATACTATTAACAAATGAGAAACAGACGGTAAGTGCACAACTCTAGCACATTGTATTAAATTGAAATTAACTGAAAAAGAAAAGAAGTCACAAGTTCAAGTTCAACTGACAATATTGTGACAAAGCTGACTCACGAGAATCCATCTGAATAGGTTCAGATCAGGACAGAATTACAGATTTGTGACCTTACACTTGATCTTAGAAAACTCATTTGATCTTGGCATGCCTCTGCTCTAAAATGCCATAACACTTCCTAATATCACAGAAGTTTTGCCAAGACAAAATACATCAATGAATATTAATTTTAAGTATTTTATAAATAGTAACATCCTTGAAATACCATTATAATAACCAGTGTAGATGAAAGCAAAGAAGAAATAGCATTCAAGAACAGATTCAAGAAGGAGAAGTAGTAGCAGACATTTTCACGTTCCAAAAAATGAAGATAAACTATTTAAAGAAAATTAAAGGAAAAAGAAATCTAGAACCCTAGATGTGAGCCCTATGCTTAGAGATTACTCCTTTGTGGATCCTAATGATTACAAAACACTAAAGTGTACAGAAAAAAAACCCAAGCCAACTAAATGTTTAAGGAATAGAAATACCCCAATTTATAGGGTATTTTACTATATAATAATTCTCTTCCTAAAAAGATAGAGTAGTGTGAAGCACTTCAACCATAATCAATTTCATTTATCCTAACCGTAATACATTGGGGAGATATTTAGTAATAATTATATGCTACTAAATTTAAAAGAGAAAGAAGAAGCACTCCAAAGCACAAATTCAAAAGCATTTAATCTCCTGGCACATTGCAAAACTAAAAAATACCCCCAAATCCTACATTGTCCTAATAAAAATAAGAAGACAATCCATTAGGTCACACCTTAGACCCCACACAATATTTTCTCAAATTACATGGATGGATTAAAGCAACTATTTATTTCCTAAGTAAGACTTACCCAATGAGCAGTAACTAAGTGCTTACATGACAGAGAACATAAATCACACTGAATGTCAAGAATTAGGACACAGATTTGTAAAAGACTTTTAAGCTTTTCTATGTTCCCTACCGAACAATTTTTACAATCCACTATAAAATATGAAATCATGAAAAGATTATGCCTTTTTTAAACAAGTTCTCAGAAGATTTTTATGTTGCAGTAACAAGACTGAGTTGTTTGTAGAAAATGGAATTCTTAAAACAGTGTTCCTTAAAAAAGTGATGCAGGATTTTTGATTCAAGTTTAGCCATATTACCTGATATTTCATTCTTGTTCCTATAAGACCTCAAAAAGTTACTTTCAACATAAAAAAACCAACAAAAAATAGAACATTTCAAGTTAAAATATACCCTAAAATTATCTTCATGGTCTAGAAATCAGCCTTATGTATAATCGTACAAGGTTTATTTCTCCAGTGCTTTATATCTAAAAATGAGAAAAATTGTATCTGACTTTACTCAATTTTTTTATTCAGGGAAATTCAGAATTATTAAGTACTACAAAAATATATATAAGCGTTTGCAAGATTTGTTTAAGTGCAGTTCTTAGGTGATTCCTGACTCAAGACCATCTCCCTTCTAAATCAACTGAATCTAGCTAAGAAAAACCTGCTAGGGAAGATTCTCCTCCGTCAGCACTGAAGGATATGTTCATTATGCCATTAGTGTTCCAGCACTTGTCATTTCACTACAAAGATCACTTTTTCATTACTTGTGTGAAACAGCTGAAGGATTTTCATTCAACCAGCTAAAGACATTAAATCTCTTAATAATTGTAATATCTAAATATAACCACAAAGAAACTCATTAAGTTGGTTATAGTTATGAGTATAAAGGTGAAGGCATTCAGTCTCATAATTAGGCAAGTGGCAAGGTCTCACAGCTCTACATGTTCTGCTAATGTACTCACATGTCTTTACAGTAACTCACTATGTAATATTAGCCAGCTCTTCATACCACTTCTGCAAATTATTCTGAAGAATCTCATCACTCTTCATCATCTTCTATTATCTCTCAGTGAAGAAATAAAAGGGTGTGTTGATATGTTTTTGTTGTATGTCATTCTGCAGTACCTAACACAAAGTGCATCCTCTGCATTTGTTAACTCAAAATTCTCTTATACTGTGAACACTAAAACCAAACACTTTAGTGTATTAATTTTTTAACTTTTTGTACTATGCTTCCCTGAAAGACAGATTTTTAGTTCAGCAGAGAAAAGAGGTGAAGAACCTTTTAATTATTAACTGTCCCATCTTTGCTAAGACCTGAAAGGAGCATTCAGGTGAGAATTTTTTAGTTTGGTTGGTGGTGGATTTTGTAGGTTGGTTTGTTATTTTGCAAACTACAAGATTTACACGAGAAATGATGGGAAGGCAGAAAAGGAAAATATAAACTTAATTTCATATTTAGAAATTGAATTCCAGAATTAGCAATTACAGAATCAGACTGCGTTCCTCTTTATGGCTCTGTGCTGATCAATGCATACTCACCTACCTTCAAACTGCTTTTCACTGGAAACAGTTTTAGATGCCCAAGTAAACAGTGTAACATTGCTTGTTAATCACAGCCATAGTTAGGGTTGGGTTGGGACCTCTGGAGATCATCAGGTAAACCTCATCCTAAACACTGTTTCTCCAAGGAATGAAAACAACAACAAAAAAAGCAGTATGGTAACTCACCTCTGTACCCCATATCGCCTTTCCAGAATAGGTTCCTTAAATGAGGGTGGAATATGGCCAAAATAATCTGGATAGGCCACTTCTGAGTATTCTGGAATAGACTTTGTGTTCTTCACCATTTCAAGATAAAGATCACAGTCATGAACTGGTGATACGTCACAAACTTGAAACATAGCATGTTCTCCTGATGAACTAGATCTGGAATCCTCCTCCTCCTCTGAATCCACTCCTGTGCAGCAGAGTTTTCCCAGCTGGACAGATGATCCTTCAAAGAGACTACCTCCACAGGGTGAAACATGCTCACAGGGTTTACTGCAAGCAAGTGTGGCAACGCTAGCTTTGTTCTCTTTCTTTACTACACACCCTGTACCATAATGTTGATCATTTTTTGCACTGTTCTGGAGACTGATTTTGTCCAAGCCTTTCACAATTTCTTGGCTTAGACACTGGCATGATGGAAGCATGTTTCTTTGATCATTTTGCTGATGTAAACTACTGCCTTTCATGTTATCTTTCTTTGGTAGTTCCAGAAACACTGGCCTTCTATTGTAGTCCTCTGTCAATAAAGGACTGCACTCCTTTAAAGCAACTCCTTTTGTTGATGGGTTTGCTTCAGCAGAGTGCTCCTCACTGGCTGTAGGAACAACAATAGGTCCACTCAAATTTGCATCAGGTACAGAAGGCTTTGGTTCCTTGGAAACTAAGTCCCATTCCTTAAAAAAAACAAAGGTGAAAAAGTAATTTTAAAAATTATTAACAAAAAATGTAAACAGTTCCCAAGTTTCACGTATATTAGAAACATTTGTCTTTCCTTGTTTTAAATGTAATTTAAAAGGTGACAGCTGTTATAAGGCATCAGAGCAATGAAGTTTGTATTTTACAAGAAGGCCTTAAAGCAACAACAAGCAGTTCATTAAAAACAAAGTATAAAGTCAATGCAATGTCCCAGATATTTTAACTACCTATTTTAAGCAGGTGTACAGCGTTAAAGGAGATGCCTAATACAATTAGGCACTCTCAGAAATCTCACATCCTTCTTCACTATTTTACTTTCTGCTATATAATAATCAGACATCAGAAAACAGTTTTCCTTTACATCTACCCACAGTACCCCCTTCTCAATAAGACTGAAGCAACCATAACACATAACTAAATAACCAACAATAAGGTACTCCCATATGTAGGTCCAGAACTGCAGACCCCTGATTCTTGGCTAGAGGAACTATCCACCCAAAAAACAACATCAAAGTATATTCCAGAGTCAACCTGACATGGCCAGAAATGTCCTGGGAACAATATGCTTTACCTGAAAGTTTTCTGAAAGTTCTGGGAAAAATCGCTCATACATTTTCAGTTCTTCTATGGGTCTTCCCAATTCCTGTCTAGGTTTCAGTTTATTAATATCACTCTCAATATCATCATTCTGAAAGATCACCAGAACAAATTAATCTTGCATCCAAAACTAATGATGTTCTACAACATTAATCTGAAACATTCACCTTTACTCCTGATACAGCCATGCTTTAAAAGATAAAATACCACTATTTCAAAAGTAGCTGAACTTCACCATGAAGATTTAGACTGCTCAGTATTATTAGGATGCCTAAGCCTCCATTTCAACATCAATATAACAAGCATCTCCATTTTCTTGTTTTCATCCAAACTTATCATACACAGACACCAGATTTTACATGAAATCCGTGCATATTCCCAGCACACTACTTTGAATGTGAAGACTTCATCTGATTGCAGTGACAAAGCAATGCTGCTTGTATGGAAGATACTCCTTCCACCAGGGCTCGTGAGATCCTTGAATACAGTATGTTTTTCCAGTTCATGGACAGGCAATTCTATTAATTCCTAAATACACATAACATAAAAATACAGAATAAGGCAGTTCTGACTAAACACCCATCCATGTCCCATCTGGCAGCTAGAGAACAGGAGAATACCTCCCCTAAGTGGTACAACAGTTAGAGGTATGATGTCTACCTCTACAGCTGGCTGAACTTCAGCTACCTTGCTGAAACACTGATCTAGTCAATCCCAGTCCAGAATGCTGGAAAAGGTTAGAGCAGCTCCTACATATGGACCAGCTTATGTGAGAAAAGCAGGCTGAGAGAAGAACAAGTTGGGAAGAGAACACTGCTAAAGAAATCTGTGGTTCTGTTCCACTGCACTCCAGATACATCAAGTGTGAAGCAAACAAATTTTGACAAAAATGCTGAAGCAATCTGAACAAGAATGTTTGATATTTTCAAGCAGCACCCACCTTCTTTAAGTTTCTGAAGCTTTTTTAATTTTAGAAATTGCCCTGAAAACCTCCTCAAACTGCTTCTAACACTTAAAGTGCACTTATATACCAGATTAAACAACTTAAGCAACTTAAATAAAAAATTGCTATACCAGACTTTTGCCTATTAATTCTGTCTCCACCTACCTTAAAATATTGGTCGTTGTCATCATCAATTTCAGTTTCAATTTCTGATTCTGTTTCAGCATCATCGTTATCATCACTTTCATCCACCACATCATCCACTACAATACAAAAAGGTTTTGTAAGGCAGATTATACATTTAATCCAATTATACATGCTCATACAAGATTTTCGATGTTCTGAATTTATTTTCTTTTTCATATACTCCTTGAAAAAAAATGTGAAAACCAACTAGTAAATTAGTGCTGGGGGGTTTAAGTTTTCTCATAGTGTTTTCCATGCTGAAAATTTGCTGATTATCATTAAAGGGCTCATTCAGAGATTTACAAATTACACTGATTTTTAGTGTACTCAGAATGACTATATGTACTGGTTTTATAATACTGACTATACAAGATTATACTTTTAATAAACCCAGACCTCTACCCACCCACCAACACTCCACATGTCTTTTGATATAGAACTTCTTCCTTTAAAAGCACTATGTATCCTATTTCCTATTGTTTTTTCACTTCTAACAGGTAACAAACCTATTAAAAAATCATATCATTAGTTCACTTTAGTAAACTAGGAAATTTCTAAACAGGTATTATACAGTACCAATCTACTGTATTAAGCAGAGATTTAATTCCTGTGGGTTTTGAAACACACATCTAAATCTCTTTTCTACTTTTAAGACAAAACATAAATAATCTTTGAACTACTGGAGTCTGACCCACATGAACCCCAATACGATAATTTATTTTCAGACTATGATTACATTTTGTTTCAGGAGATATCATGAATAAAAGATATTAATAAGCTGACTTTGACCATTCATTTCAGATTAACTTTCTGACAGCAACTTCATTAGTTGCTTACCAGGTCTGAAGCTGTTTCACCTTATTGGAATATGTATTAATTACCTGAAAATAATGAAAGGTGTTCACAATGGGATGAATCGATTTTCTACACAGAACCATATAAATGCTTTGCAGTACAGTGTTTTCTAAGAGATTGCAATAGTCCAAGAAAGCAGCTCTACTTTCTCATCATGAAAATAAAGGAAGAACCACAATAACATATAAAAGCCAGTTCTTCAAATGGAAAACATTAATCTAAATTCATCACATCCTAACTTATCCAAGTAATAAAAAGAAAGGAAGGGATACAAGCTCCTGTAAGACAGGATGTACACTACAACACGTTACACATAGGAGAATGTATATGCTGCATGAGTTGAAAGGAGAAACCATTTAAGTTTGAATACAGCCTGTTCTTTACACTTCAGAGTTTGGTGAGCATCACCTTTTAGTACTTGTTTCCTCTTTGATTTTATAACCACATGTGTCTGGACAAAATGTCTAACACTTTAAACTTAACATTAGAAACTGGTGCTCCACACCAACAGTCACAGACCCTTGGCTCGTTGAGAAGTGTCTCAGTGTCCTTTCAGCAGACAACACAATTAAGTAGAATTGATTCCACTTTTCCATAAAGCAAAATTAGACATACTCAAAGACAAAGTACTACAAAATCACCATACCATCAGGAGGCAAATTGTACAGCTGAGCCACAGGACCACTGGCAGGAATAACTGGGAGTTGGAAATGGAAAGCACTTTTAATAGTTGGTAAAGGAAGACGATTTTTGGGAAAACATTTTCTCATTATTAGGCTGGATGTATTGACGAGAGGATCAAGAGTTCTTACTGCAAGGCACTCCTGTTAACAGGAAAATAAAGAAAAGTATTTCTCAAATTGAAAGTCAAATTACATTTATATACAATTTACAAAAAAATTGGTTCATGTCTTCTTTGAAGGACTGGAAAAACTACCAATTCAAATTCACCTTTAAAAATCCAAACTTCAGCACAGAAAGGCATTTTCACCCCCTCTTTTTTAAAAGTAAGTTCAACCACCCATCCCAGAAATAGCCACAGCAAAATAACAACAAATACAAATTTAATTCTATACTCTTTCCATGTTTCAGTGGGCTACAGAATATAATCCTTATTCCTATAATCAGGAATGACCATCAATCTCCTAAAAGAAATATGACAAACTTGATGTCATAGCCAAAAACAACAACATAAAAAACCCTATCAGGATAAACTTACCTGTGAAGTGTTGTAAAGAATTTTCATCCCATTGGCATCAAGAAATGCTTTTCTTCCCAGTTTGATATTTGTAACACTTTTAATGCACTGTAACACTCCTTTACGTATCAGCATATATCTGTGTCGACTATCGTGATGGTGCCAATCAACATAAATCGTTATAAGCACCTGCACATATCCTCTGTCTACAGCTCTCCTGGCATTTGTTTCTTTGCAAAAAAAGTTAGGAAAGAAAATTAAAATTGCCCAGTGACTTCGATATTACTTTCAAATTTTACTTTCAATGTTTAAATTACTCTTTTTATCCAAGTAACTGAATTGTTTCAGTTTGAATAGTATTTTAGCCACCCTTAGCAGAGTTTTACATCAACATAAATGGAAATGACTGGAAAACTAAGACCAGTAGCCTAAACCTCATTCTTGGAACATTTCACATAATTTTCATGGTTTCCTAGAAGAACAGCATGCATTACACTTAAAAGGCAATTGTAAGATGCAGTCACCCAGTAAATTAAAAACAAAAAATATTTCCACAAAGCATATATATCATTATCTACACACACTGTCCATATACAAGATTTGAAACAAACATCTTTTCACTTGCAATCCATATATTTTCCCAACTATCACTCAAATTTCATAAGCTGAAAATACTTCTACCCCAAATACTGGGTAATCAGTATGACAGCTGGAATATATATATATAGTAGACTAATGTTCTTATGAAAATATTTAATTATATAAAGTATATGAAGTTACAAGTTAAAACCACTAAGGAGAAGACATCTCTAAATAAATGAACAAGACCTCTTGTTTTAAAGACACACCTTTTGAACACCCCATTTTTCTCCCCAGTATTAAAGTTTAACTGCCAATTCACAGAATGGAATACTGACAACAATTTGGAAATATTTGTTTCCCTAAACTTCCCAAGGAGAAGTTGCAAAATTCATAGACACACAAACCTGTAAGACCAAGGTATCACACTGAATAAACATGAATAAACTCAGCACTCTGTGATAGTCAGTACAGAAATTTCTCACCATTTGTGTGAAATGGTTTTCATCACATCTCAAGTCTTATTCAACTCCACTAAAACTACTATGAATGCCATAACTTTAACACAACTATTTGGAGAAAATGAGTTTTTAGTTCCTTACTAGTTACAATGCTGGTTCAAAATCTGCAAAGATGACATTGGGAGGATCAATTGCTGCTGGCTGAGACAGCCCATGTCTGGAATCACACCACTGGTTTTGTTACCTTTAATTCCACTTCATGAGCATCACTGACAGATTTGTTACTGGGACCCAAATCCTAATTATTCAGGAAGGTACTGAAGAATACCTGTATTTTCCCTAGGCATCCAAGAGATATTTTCAGATGTATGTGTAAAAAAGAGGCACAGGAGTTAAGCTATAGGCATCTATTATTGAATGGCTGAGGTGAGTGAATGTAAAAAAATTTGTCCTCTTTGGACCTAGATCAGTTCTGCAGAAGCAGTGCAACCTTTCTGCTGCATAACTGATAAAGCACTAATCAAGTATTAAACATTCATGTATACACAACATAAATAAAGCATCAGAAACTTCAGAGAAAACTTATTTATAGGTTTCCTAGCCTTATTTTTGTTTTGGCCACCAATTTAATGCTTAGTTTTACTGTGTCCATATATACACACACACCCATTATAGCTCAAGTAGATATTTTCTTGTAGTCAAACACTTACTTGATTTTAGCAATGCAGCAAGTGTGTCTAAAGCAACCCTGTCAACATAACAAGAAAAGTCAAAACAGCAACCAACCAGTAAGCTTAAAACTGTACAAAATATTTACTGCTTACAGATTTATAAAGAGTCTAACTTCATGTTTTCCTGGTTGCACTGTAGCACAGACTTCACTTTTATATTACTACAAGATCATGTATTTGAAGTCTGATGACAAAACTTAAAAATATCAATGCAACATCTATACAAACTTCCAGCTTTTGCAAAAACACTGTGACAACGTAATGTTTATGACCGACACTCACTGGTTGTGATATTCTGAAATTCATGTCTTTGTTAGCAGCAGAACAAGTACTTCCACAAAGTAAAGGACATTATTTTAGAAAACAGTATGTCAATACCACCAGGCAGTATATGAATATACTGAGAAGCAATGCCCATCAATCTGCCCAACAACACAAGATGGTCAGCATGAGATTTTTCTTGTACTCAAAGATCTTCCCTCAACTCAACTGTGCAACTACAAAATGTATATACTTATTTTTCACCTTTTGTGAAGATAGACTTGATGCATCTGATCTTAGACCATAAAAAATGATATCATGATTAGTCACATCATAGAATAGTACGTCCAAATGTGGAATTTTAGCTGAGCCTTGAAAGAACAGGACACGTTTTTTTGAACCCTACTCCTGAGAACACAAACACCTGATTTTGATCACATATCAAAATGTGATCTTTTTGAAACAAAGTTAGAATATGCACAATATGAGATTAACACTTTGCTAATCAGATGAAAAACTTAGTACTGGTATGTACTTCAAAAAGGTGGAGTATATAAAGAAAGGATTATCTTCAGTTACATCCACTTGGCTACTTTTTAACACTACATTCACCCAAAAAATCCAATCCAAATCAAAAAACCCAACCAAACAAAAAGGCCCAAAATCTACAACCACCACCAGAATGGGAATCTAAAGTCACCACTTTCACCTACACAATGAATTTTAATTTTCTTAACATAATAGCCCACAAGACAGTAATTGCTGAGGCTTCCTATTCTATGTTTTGTGTCCTTGCTCCAGATGTCTATTTGCTTTGCAGAAAAATGAAAAAAAAAATCTATTATCCAAAAAAAGAGACAGTATCACACTAAAGCACAAAGCAAATAATAGAATAAGCTGACTTGGAAGAGGCACACAAGGATCATCAAATCCAACTCCTGGTCCTGCACAGCACCACTCCCAAGAGTCACATTCTGTGCCTGAGAGTATTGTCTAAATGCTCTTGAACTCTGTCAGGCTTGGTGTTGTAGAAACAAACTGAAAAATTATGGGATTGTCTTGATCTCCTTGTTATGATTTGGGGTTAACCACTGTACAGTTTCCATGCAGGAATATTAAAGATAAAAAATAATGTTTATTATTTTACCAGTACTGCAAATAGACATTCAAGTATTTTGTGTTTATCTACTGGGAAAAATTAAAATTTCTCATATTTGTGATACTCCTTCCCATCACCCTTCACTTTAATCTTCAAATATTAATTGCACTTAATTGCTCCAATATTGTTTTTCATTTACAAGTAAGTTTTGAAAAAACATACAAGGTTTTACCACATAGTAAATTAAAGAGATCTTACTTACTTCATAAGGCTAGTGTTCCTTTTACTAAAAGGGCCAATAATCTTAAACATCAGTTCTACTACTCCATTCTTTCCCAGAGATACTGCATTTACAGCTGGAAGTCAAAAGCAATCCATTTCAACATAATGTAGTAAGGAAAGGCGAAAGAAAAAGATCCATATACTCAAGACTAAAACTCACACAAGTTAATTTTCAAGTACAAAATATGCTGGAGATTTTAGTCCTTTAAGACTATACAGTGACAAGCAGACACTACACATAATTTGCATGATGATCCAATCCTGATAAAACTTGGAAAAGAAATCTTAATCATTACTTTACAAATAAAACCACATACTACTTCCAATGCAGGCTTCTGCTTTCTTTGTTACTAAGATACAACACAAAACCAATCTTCCTTATAGAAATTCACAGTTTACTGAAGCAGCGGGTTTTCTAAAATTTTAGGTTCTATGACTTGCTGTCATAAAACATGACTATGACCCTTCAGTATTTGGACAAACAGCTATATTCATGAGGATATGAAATCCAAGAGTCTGCTATAAAATTTTAAAATGCCAATTGGTATAGCTTTCCTGAACTACATGTTCTGAATACATGTTCTCAGAAAAAAAAAAATAAATATAAAAGTAATCTATTTGAACGGGAGCAAATGAAAAGAAATTATGCTAAGACCCATGTTAGAGAAATATGTCCTTAAAGTATTTGTTTGAAGTCAAACAGCCAACTCAAACACTGCTGACACAGACACCTGGCTGAGTTTAGCAACATGTTCTCCTAACAAACTAGGAAGAGAGTAGCTAAGAATTTACTTCAATATAATAAACGCTGTTATCACTGTAGAATTTAGTACGTGAACTCGAAGTGGCAATTTCATCATCATTAGCACCAACATCATACCAGAATCTAAGTCAAGTTAGGACTTACTCTAATAGTAACTGTACACAAACTTGAAGAAAATCAGAAAATTACAAACTACTACTACTTTTTCTTTTCATAAAGAGTGAGAAATACAGAAAAATAGAACTGATCTAAGAAGTCAAATTAGAGACTCAGTCCCATTTTTAGGATGAAGCAAGTTTTCAGATAAGCAATGTAACTAATGTAACTATCTGTATTAGACTTTTCACTTTAGGAGTGTTTCACCTCATTGCCAGGACAGCTCAATAGAAATAAAGCTTCCATGTTTTGAAAATATTGAGGCTTTACGAATTATTGCTGCTCATGTGAATGACCTGAAAACATAATCTTACAGATTATCAAATCAGTTCTCTGGGGGGGGAACATGGCCACGTGTTAAATTTCTTGCACATAAATAAGATTTACAACCATTTCAGGCTCAAATGAAAAAAATTAAAAGCGTCTAACTGACAGCAGAGATACAGAAAGAACCTCACTATTTTCATCAATTTTCTACTGCCTGCCCAAACAACTAGGCTCTTGTGGAAGAATGTTAGTCCAACAGTGGAGAGGGGAGCTCTTGAATAAAACAATTAAGGAAAAGGTTAAATTAAGAAATAATTAAGTTAAATTGAAACATTTTCTGTGTTAACCAAGTCTTAAATTGGTAATAAAGAAATAAATATAACATCAGAAATAAAAAACACGAGAAAGAATAATAAAGAGACTAATTATTTATCTCTAAGTGCTTCTGCAAGCAAACTGTTAGCATTTCTGGTTTAGAGCTTTAAACGTCAGCATTTATGCAAATTAGGTGGCTCAAAATTCCACACACCCAATAGCATTGATCAAAAAAATTTTTTTTGTAGAATTTAAGCATTTTGAGGATATAAGGAGAAAATTCTCAGAAAAAAAATAGTTTAAATAACTAACATTAAACAAGCACTCAGCTGATATTTTAACCTTATCTAGATAAAAAGCTTTATTCACATAGGAAAGAAAATAATTTCCTGCAATACTTACAGTTGGTTGAATAAACTCTTAATACTTGAAGACATGGCAATACTAGCCTGTGGTTCTGCAAATTATGCTTCACTAAATTCAATGGTATGTTTAGGACACCATTTATTCTTGCTTTCATGCCAATCTTCTTGTCTGACATCAAAGAAATATAAGAACAATCACACTGATTTTGCAATTGTTAAAAAAATAGAAGTTACTGAACTCTTTCTACTGAGGTCAACTCTGCTTATCTACTTTCCACCATTCTTTCCTCCCCTCTAATTTACTTCACTATTATTTTTCCTCTTTACCAGTTCTGAGTATGTGGATGCCTACACAATAACAGAATTATAAAACTGTAATTATTAAGCCATAATATCACCTTTTGGACCAATTTTTGCAAGAAGAGTATGAAGAAGCACCATTAGTTCTTCATTTGGTGGAGAGTCTTTGCTGGCAGTCAAAAGCAGCTGTAACAAGATTTGTGTCCCTCCTTTGCTGACTAAGACACTTGCTCTCCGACCACCACCTAGAATTAAAATTGAATTGATACAACTAAAGCCAAAGAACAATTAAATATCTAAGAGGCAGTTATAATGAAGTTAGGTTTTAAAACATCAGTATTTTCTTTATATATGACTGCACTATGCAAGAACATGCTAGACTTACACTTACAGCAACAAACTATTGTGTAGGATTATTAGAATGGTAACTTCAGTCTTTACATTCTTTTAATTCTGCATATGCTTCAGCAATCAACAACAAAAACCAAAATAATGATGCTTTATGAAAAACCCAACAACGATAAAATTAACTAGAGAAAACAAACAAAAAAAATCTGAAAAAGCAAGCATAAATATAATCATATATTACTTCTTAATGAAAACTTACCAACTGAGACTATCTCAATGAGAATATTCAATATATTTAGAATAGTTTGAGGATCTCTTGTATTCTGCAATAAAAAAAAGAGATCTGTGTTTAACATGCAGTCTAATAATGGTTTGGATACTTAAAGATAGGAGGAATTGCCACCACAAAATTAAATAGAACTTTGAATGTACCCACATAGCAACCATCCCACTATGCAGCCCAAATTAACCACAAAACCAATTAAAACACACTTGTAGTGTGGTACATCAATTAGAATTGATAGGTGACAAGCAATTTCTTAAAATATCTAAATATAAGGGAGAGAAAATCACAAGTAGGTTACTTGAAGAAGTATCTATTCATAACAGACCAACACAAGTTTTGAAGACTCAATAGGATAACAACATATTTCATAATACAAAATATATACATTTCATAATGATAGAATGCAAAACTGCTATGAACCCATAACCAAAAAAATTAAAATATTTTACCTCTAGGGTTGACAGGATAACTTCTATTCCAGTGGAGCCCTTAGAAGTCATCTCCTTCCTGGTTTTTTCTGTCACAGAAAAAGACCAGCATTGGCTTGTAGTAAAAAAAAATGTTATCATCTACAAATTGACAAGAAAATTTACACTGCAAATAATAAAACTTATTAAAAAATGCATATTTGTATGTACTAAGAACAAAGTAAAATACTTAAGCAATTTTAAAACTAATTTTTGTTTTCAATTATTCAACAATTTTGTGATGGCCTTGAAAAAAAAAATTAAGAAAAATATCAGTAGGAAAGCTGCCTTCCAGATACTTCTACTCTTTACATATATACAACATACAGACATATATACATATGAAGTGAGTTATTACTTAAATTATAGCTATTTGACAAACACAAAATGGACTCAGCACTACCAATACTATACTAGATATATTAAACATGGTCTTAAACAGATGTTTTCAACAATCAGTGACAAAAACAGATATATAATCAAGTGCACTAAATCAAAACTTAAGTCTAACAAGGGAGATACAAGAAGCAAGGGTCAAAAGGGAAACTACTAAAACCACAAAGCTTAGATAATTACCTTGACTCTGGACCAGATGAAGGATCCTTGAGGTAACATATCTGGCATTGTCTGATTCTCCTAATACAGAGTCCAAATTTATCTTCTCCAGCTGTGACAGCAGGGATACAGTCCGAGAACTGGCAGAAACACTACAAAAAAGATATTATTTTTCCATCTAAATCAGAGAAAAAAGCTCCTAACAACAGAAACTTGATGCTAGAGTAAAGGGTGTGACTAATTCACTTCCATATTTTATCTGGATTGGAAAACAGTCTTAATTCTCAATTCTAGCAAATTTACAGGTTTTGAAAAGCCTGCACTGTAACGGACTAATTGTATGTAACAGCATCTCCAAGAGCAACTGTGAACAGGGAAATCAGTTGCAGCAAGTAAATGCAGCTATGCAGCTATAGGTACAAATGTTCTTCATCTATGCCATCTAGAGCGACTTATATTTAATAATTTATGTTAAGTGACAGGATACCCTATCCAACCTGCCCTTCAAGGAAAAACTGGCTACAAACAGACTGAAAAACAGCTCGGCTCATAGGATGGCATTTCAGAAAAGGAAGAAAATAATGTCATTCGTGAAGTGAGCAAACTAGCACACACCAGCTGAAGAAAAAACCCACCATTTTGAAGAAAGAAACTTAAGATATTTTCTAAAATTATCATCCAAGTTTGGATTCGTTTTGACTGCAAGGGCATTTTGGCCTGCTGTCGTGGGTTTATGCTGGCCACAGGCCAGGCACCCAGCAAAGCTACTCACTCACTCCCCTCTGAAGCTGGACAGAGGAGAGAAAATTTAATGAAGGGTCATGGGTCAAGATAAGGACTGCGAGAGATCACTCACCAAATATAATCATGAGCAAAACAGGCTCAACTTAGAGATATGAAGTTAATTTATTACTGACAAAATCAGAGCAGGATAGTGAGAAAGTAAAATAACCCTTAAAAACAGCTTCCTGCCACCCTTCCTTCCTTCCTGCTCTGCCTGCTACCCCAGCAGCACAGGGAGACAGGGAATGGGGGTTGTGGCCAGTTCATCACCTGAGGCTTTTCCTGCTGCTCAGGGAGAGGAGTCATTCCCCTGCTGCACCATGGGGTCCCTCCCATGGGAGACAGTTCTTCATTAACTTCTCCAACATGGGTCCATCTCATGAGCAGCAGCTCTCAGTGAACTGCTGCAATGTGAGTCCCTCCCATGGACATAGTCCTCCCAAAACTGCTGCAGTGTGGGTCACTCTTTTACTAGGTACAGTCCTCCAAGGACAGGCTGCTCCAGCCTGGGGCCTCCCTTGGGTTCACAGACTCCTTTGTGCATCCACCTGCTCCAGCCTGGGTCTCCTCCACCAGCTGCAGGTGGATCTCTGCATCCCCATGGAGCTCCATGGGCTGCAGGGCACAGCTGCCTCACCAAGGTTTGCACCAGGGGCTGCAGCAGAACCTCAGCTCTGGTGCCTGGAGCAGCTCTTCCTCCTCCTCCTCCTTCTCCACTGACCTTGGTGTCTGCAGAGTTGCTCCTCTCACGTGTTCTCACCCTACTCTGGCCACAACTACATCTGCATAATAACTTTTGTTTTATTTCATCTTAAATCTGTTATCACAGCAGAGTTATCACTATTTCTGCCTGGCCCAGTCTTGGCCAGCGGCGCATCTGTATTGGAGCCACCAGGGACTGGCTGTGCTGGACATGGAGGAAGCTTCCAGCAGCCTTCCACAGAAACCACCTTGCAGCCTCCCCCCGCTATCAAAACCAGCAAACTCAATAGTCTTGCCAACAAAAAATTGACTTGAAAATGTATTTTAGTGTAAGACACCACTTCAGTCCAGGCATTTATATAGAGAAGTAGAAAGAAAGAATTGGTCTGTTTATTCTAAACAGAGTCAGTATAGAAACTGTTTTATTTGTTCTATACTTTCAGATCATAAAAATTATTCAGAATAGTTTTGAGATTCACATTCCTAAATAATTGGACCCATTACAGCCTGACAGTAATTTTTAAACAGATGTTTAACATTTTAATTGTAGTCATGCAATTAACTACAGGAAACTATGACTTCCATGCATGAACTACCTTGGCTTTTCATTCATAACATTAAAGTTCTAAAATAATCAACAATAATTCATTTTACACACACATTGCTTTATCTACAATAAAATTAAAGTCTACAATACTAGCTTTATGAATAGTCAGTCAGTTTTGTTTATAATAATGAGGAATTATTATTACTCCTTGATTTATATCTTACATCTGCGTAAAGGTTTTACACTTACTGTTAACTACTCAAATGTTAAAATTATGGGGAAAAGTTAGTTGAGGGAAAAAGTTATAAGCCATGAAGACAAATTGATGTGAGAGCTGCACAGGAAACTGCTTCCACCACTCTCACTTTTCCACACGGACATCTTAATGAGAAGCATAGCCAAAAATTAATTTCAGATTACAGATGATACTTAAAAGCTGCTAAGAACAAGAATAAGAAATGGATATATTAATTATAGCTCTGCTCTTAAATAGGAGTAATTTTATATTTTGAAGTAAGCCTATCACCTTCTCAAGTATTTGACAGACTTTGATTTAACTTTTTTAAAAATTTAATTATTAAAATGTTTAATTATTAAAATTTAATTATTTTTTCATCTAAATTAAATCTGTCTTGCATGCTGAAACATTAATTTCCTTGTGTAAGTAAAGCTTTATCACTCCAATCCTTTCTCATCATCTAACACTATGCTGAATAGTACAAAGCCGTTATTTGCATAAGCATTGTTTTGCTTCTCTCTGCTTCTCCGTTTATCCATTGAACTTGAAATGCTCCAAAATTGACACAAGATTGTAATGAAATCCACAAGCTCTGTTGATCTAATACACAAACTGACCAAATTATATAGGATGTTATCTTCACCAGCTCCACAAGCAAAAGAAGTAGGAGTCCAGCCAATCCACATGTAAGCCGATGTGTAAGAGAACTGCTGCTTCAGCCTGTGTATGTGTGTGCATGTCACTTCCACTGTGGTACACCATTGGTCCCACAATTAAATTAATGTAGTATGAAAGGTGAAAACAATCCAAGAAAGCAAAGCTGATGCTCAGGAATAATAAATAATAATAATAATAGCAGTAACAATAACAATTTTTTTAAAAGTTTTTGCAAAGATAGAATTCACTCATAGGCATTAAAATGACAGAGCAAACCTGATTTTTGACTGCTCCAGTCTGGAAAACTCAAGCAACACTGACACATGGAAGCCATTTACCAGGTACAAGAAGCTGGCATCTAACACAATTCCTCCATAGTTAATAAAAACTTTAAAAGGTTTAGGTAGGGTAAATAATTCTCGGTACTGGGTGGTATAACAACTTAAGTTCTAAGATTTAGAGTTATAATCTCCTCCTGGGGACAGAGTTTCTACCAACAGCAATAACTGCTTATTGCAGCAGAGATATCTTTAAAATAGTTTTAGGCTAGTCATCTTGTATAAAACCTTCCAACATAAATACAGCTATCTACTTTTCATGTCTTCCGCATACACAATTAAGCATCCCTAAAAATTAGCACCAGCCAACACTCAAATGCAAATAAACTCTTGATTTCCTCTTAGTTATGGTTGAGTTTTCTTCTTAAAACAAGAATTTTACTGTTATTTACCAGTATTCTACACTAATCTACATAGTGGTTATACAACTATTTGACAGTTTTCAATGCCTGCACAGTACCACAGGACAGGAATTATAGCAGCCAGACAGACATATAGCAGCAGAGTCGGTAATATTGCTGTGACCACCCATTTGACCTCAGAACAAAATGAAAGCACAAGTTGTAATGAGACTCTCTCATATTTGTAATGTAAACACGTATGTTTTGACCAATGTACCATTCAGCATCCAAATCTAGAAGACAGTTCTCCAAAATGGAGAGGCACCATGGAATTCAGTATTTTCAATCCCACAAGAATGAGTCAGAATGAACTCTGTCCTGTCCGAGGTATGTTTTCTCTCAAGCTGCCAACATTGTAGAACCTCAAATGAATTCCCTGAAGACTGTGGCCAGACTTGTGTGGTGACCAGACACAGAGACACAGCAGGAGCCAAAGACTCAGGGGGAAGAGCTGAGACTTTCCTGTGCTTGGACTTTCAAGGCACAAAAGCCCAAGGGTTCCTCTGTTCGTGGTCGCTCCTAGGAGGCACCAGCTGTGTTACTGCACCATGAGTAAATTGGTTTGTAGAATGAGACATTGGAGACTTTGCTAAGGGAAACCTGGGGTCAAACTGGTAAAAACACAATGCAGACCAGTCTCAACAATTCCAGCTGGAGTATCCAACATGAATTTGAATCATCACCCATCAAACTAGAAGAAGATTAACTATGGTTTCTACTCAGTCAAAAGCAATTGTCACAAAGAATGGGATGACTCAGACTGACCTGACACACCAACATGCAGGTCTCCAGATTTCAAGCTGCAGTGAGTACCTGAGCTTGTCACTGATGCTGGGGCACAGAAACAATATGAGACTGGTTTTGCCACAAGGTAAAGAACACTTCTGGTTATTAGGAGTGACATTTTTCACCCCATCCATTCTAAAGCCTTCTCATAAGAGCACTTGTCAATGAGGGTTACATAGGTCTCTATTATCTTTAATTCTGAAAAAAACATGACTAAAGAGCACCAGAAGAAACTTCTTAACACCATAAAAACTATTCTCTTCAGATCTGGATAAACACCAGAGCTGCTCTTCATGACACATATATGCCAAACCAGTCCCTGATGACCTGCAAAAATGATTCAATAACCAAAGGCAACCTCATTCTTTATATCCCTTCATTTGAAAGATTTTCTCCCTGAAGTTTAATATTGTCATTTCAGGCACTTCTTACTAGAAATGCAACTGTCCTTTATGTGTCCCAGTGACATGCCTCTCTAAGCACAGTATCTTGCACATACTTCCATCAAATATTCTTAACCATTTTCTGCATTTTACAAGAGTATTTTGAAATAATTTGGTCCTCCAGTAGTTTTGCGGGCCTTTCGAGCTTCAAGTTGACCATAACTTCAACAACATGCCTCTCTTACAGATCGTTAGTAAAAAACTAGAATATTTGCCACCATTAGCTGTAATCAGAAAGAGAGAGAGCACATCCAGAAGTAAATTGTGCACCATTTCCTTCTGACAGTCATCAACTACCACTGATGTTGTCTCCACTCAGTGCTCTACTCTGTCCAAAGACAACCAATAATTATTATTCTCTGACAGATTTACACTTTCTTTAAGCATCTTGAGGCCAAGTTTACCAGGCTTTGTTGATCTGGTACACTTCATGTCTCCACAGGCAGGAAACTCTTTCTTCATCCCACATTGAAATGCTACAGTTCAAAATGCCCCTTACACCACCACTTTGCATGCACAAAGGAAGAACCCCTGTCCTTATGTCAACTTAGAACATGACTCTAGCTAACCAGGGAGCTTTGTGGATTTCCTCTTTCTCTGGTCAGGAAAGCCACAAGTAGATAATACGGAAGCATGCCCAGAAAGTGAAGAACAGAGGACTTCAGGTCTTCACACTTGAAAGAGAACTACCTCAACAACGGGTTCACATTTGAAAGAGAACTTCCTCAACAAGAAAACATCTTCTCAAAGAGAGATTCCCCATTACAGGAACACTTCTTTCACTTCCAAAAGACTTAAGCATTTGAACTCTGATAATGAAGAAGCGACAGATTCACAATCCTTCATTACCCACCATATGCCACTTTCACTATGCAAATGCTAAAACACATCATTGTACCTTTCTACATGTCTACCCACAATGAGAAAGATAACTCTGAGCCATGGATGCTCATAAAAATTCAATTATCTTAGAATGGATTTTAGCTACTGACCATGCAAGAAGCCTTACAAAATACAATAGTCAAATGAGGGATGCCATTGGTTTCTCAATTATACCTACTTCCCCTGAAGCTGCAGTCAGCCAGCACACAGATGTATAAGGGAGTTCCTTCTTCCCCCACAGTAAACAGATCTGCATTTTGGCACGTTACCATGAGCCTTTAAAACAGGCAGGCTTCTCACAAGCTTGTTAGGATTTTATTCCAACACAAATAATTTCAAACTATGGTTTTGGGTTTTTTCCCTCAACCACTTCCACAGTTATCAAGTAATCATTAGAGAGCTGATACTTCTGATTATTCATAGTTATCTCTGTACACAGAGTCACCATAACTTATTCATGACTTAGGGCACAACTGTTTTGAATTGCAGGCATGGAAACTTTCATTTTGTCTCTGAGTAAAGAAGAATAAATGGCACTTAAGTAGCAACTTCACAAACACCTAATATTCTTTGTGATAGCAGATTTTATGCATTATAATTTTCAAGAATACTCATTGCTGACAGAGAGCTTGCTTTGCTTATCATAATGCCTAAGGGGCTAGCCTACCACAAGAACAAAACATAGAGTTTTTTTACGATTTCTTTTGATCTAACCCTCACAAAATCAGGAAAAACTGGCCTGATATAAACCCTAACCCTGTTCCATCCAAAGTCAGCAAAAGTAAGGATGATTCTACATACAAGAATTTAAAGTCAAATATTAAATAGATCCCAACATACAACATAATTCACAGCAGAGTATGTTCTTCATAAAAATTCACCTCCTCACACAGAAAATAACTAGTACTTCAGAAAACTAAGACTGAAGCCAGAATTCCCAATTTTGCTGATTTTCCTTTTTTTTTTTTTTTTTAAATCTGATTTAACAAGGTGGTTTAATCTGTGCTAGCTTAAGAAAAAAAAAGTAAGATTGAAAGCCTTTAAATTGTTTCCTGATGCTTAACAGCCTTCCAGAGAATCTCACAAATTTCTCAAATGCTAGTTAAGACAAGTCCACATGAAAATAACAAACACATCTTTTCAACCTGACATCTTCTGCATCCCACTTTGGTTTGTCCTAGCTATGTGCTGGATTGCAAGATTGTTGCAGGATGACATCTTAAGACAAACTCATGGCTTCTTATAGAGTATTATAAATGTCTTTAATTCCTTCAGTAGAAAAAACTTTTTGTTTTACCAATATGTGCATAAAATTATGAAATCAACTAAAATTTCAATTAAATTGAATATGTATTTTATATTTGAACATGTCTAACATTAACTGAAAATTTAGATTTAAAAAGTTATTTATTAAATGTGAAGATACTTTGTGTTAAGCAATATTTACTCCCTCAGTGTTTCAGGACACCAGCTAGAGACTCACAATTTGTATTTCATTTATCTTACTAAGAAGATAAAGATACTCTTACCAAGATAAAGACTGTTTTTTCACAGGTCTCAAATAGCTTGATGTTAAGAGGTGACTGTAGTTTTAAATTTACCTTTTTTCAGATGATGCTTTTGCTTTGTTCATATCGGAAATACAATTCTTCAAATCACCATCTCTGACAACCTGTAAGATATTAAACAACTACATATTATTGACATCTTTTGTTCTTTAGAGATGAAATGCTGACACCATACTGAATGTCACTTTACTAGAAATGCTAAATTAAGTTAATTCACAGTGATTGTATTTCTACACAATGTCACAGGCTCTTCTCCCTTCACACTATTTGATCCAACTTTTAAAATAAACTGTTGCTTTTTAAGTATGGAGTGTGATTCTGCATTATTATTTAGGTCTACCAAAGTTCAGAAAGACTGATTACAATAAAACAGAGACTTGTATCAGTCTTTTACTAGACATTATTTTCCTGCCAATGACAGAATTTTATCAAGTAAAGTTTTTGCTGAAGCCAGTAAATACATTTCTTAAGCTTACTTGACAACACTATGAGATGCCACAACATACTGATTTCTGACTTCATGTATCTATAGAACAACTAAGGCTAGAGGCACAGCGAGAAACATGGAGTATTTGGTGTTCTTATTTAAGCAGGGCCTCAATACATTCCTTGGACAGAAACCATATCGTGCCAAGGATTCAATTTTCCTATCCATCTAAGGACATAGTGTCCTCAGGGCACATCGCTTCCTCAAATGGTGCCTCCAAGCAATTAAGGTTGCAGCCTACAGGACCATTAACTGAGCACCACTACTTCCATCTGAGATGTACTATGAGTGACAGACAAATACTCCCACTGTGAAAAAAAAAAATTGTCCTCTAAGAGCTCAGTGGTAAATTTAGAGGTAGAAGACAGAAAAGGAGAAAATGGATGTTCAAAGAAACTGAACATTGGAATTGAGAAATGCAGGCAAGAAATTCAGCCAACTACACACATACAGCTACCCACCACCCCCTCCCCCATCCCCTTCTCCCCAAAGAAATTTGCAAAAGCTCTCAAAAATCCTTATTGTTCAGCACATAAAAATAATCAGGTTTTTATTACTGGTAAATTCCACTCCACTGCTAAAAGCCTAAAGCAGATGAAGTATGAAACAGGCTTATTTCCAGACTTACCTGAAAGCAGAATATTCTCCCAGCAGCCAGGAAGAAAATGCTTAACTTTTCACAAGAATTCCAGCTTGACTCAAGTTAACAGGTGTCTTAGCTTTGTCCACGCACCCTTCAGGTGAACAGTATGTTGAAATTCTTTAAACAAAACAAAAAGTTACAAGAGAAGAGCTGTGTCCACCCCATTGCTGACAATTTCATGAATTACAAAGTCTGGATTTTTCCAGCCATGTTGCTGGTCTTACTGGGTGGAAATCAGACCCTTGGATTCAAGTAACCAAGAGCTGTTTTGCTTCCAGCAAAAGTAGGACCTGCTGTCATGCAGATGATGAACAGTCTGCCAGTGCCAATAGTGTCTATATATTATTGTGTACTGAACTGCTGCGCAAGTGGAGCCAGCTACTAAGCTGAACAATCTTGAACTGCAAGGTCTTAGTTTGTTTGTCTAAACTCACCACAAAGTATGTCAGTAAGTATTAAAGTGCTTACTGACGCTCAGGTCAAGGGGAGAAGTCAAGTGAAAAAGAAAAAGCACAAGAAAAAAAAACAAAACAAAAAACCCAACAAAATTAACAACAGATGAGAAGGAGCAAGAAAAAATGAAGAGATAAATACACACAGCAGCAATCCAGAGAGATGTGGTGGGATATCTATGCATTCTAAAGAAAAAAAAAAAAATTCTCTTTAACATTTGAGTAGGTAATGCAAAAAAAAACCCCTTCCAAATTAATTTAAAACTTTTAATATTATCCTTATTTTGAATACACACTTAATAGAAAGCTAAAGGCAGAAGGTGAATGAATTTACATGTATTTTAAGCAATCCACTTGCCTTTCAGTGATATCAGAGCAGACAAAAAATTAGCATCAGTTCTGCTTGCAAAGGACGAACAACTGAATGAAAGCACTTCAATTTGGAGGGAAGCAGGGGAGAGCAAGAAGTGCTGACTAAGTAGAACTCCAAACCAATAAATGCTGGATTCTCTGCAATCTCCCTTTGCCTTTCCACCTTGCCTGTGAAATGTTATCTCATTCATCCTCCCATCTAGACAGGGGAAACAGGCAGTCTCCACAAGACCAGAAAGCTGCACTGTAATAATTACTCTAATAATGCTATCAACAGTACAATAAATTATATGGCCTGCATGAAGTTACAGGCAATTTTCACATTTTCCTTTCTCCTCAGAAAAGCACATATTTGCCTCACTCCTAGGTGAATTCTTTGTCACTGAGTCACCTTGCCTGCTGATCCAGATTTTCAATACCCAGAAAATTTGACACTCACTCACAAAGTTCATAAGCAAAGAGGATATCCCCTCCAGCATTTACCTTTCATATGAAATTCTGACATTTTCCAAAATCTAAAATTAAGAATAATATGGAATCCGTGGAACTCCTAGTTCTTGGACAAATACTCTAACCACAAAACTACCAAATGGCAAGGACCATCACAAAGCAGGTTTTTTTGCTCAAAACAATGGCTAAAGGAATGAATGTGCACTGTTTCAATCAGACCTCATGCTCAGATGTGTCTATTAGGCATTACTGGGAGTGCCTACCGAGGACTTGTACAAACTCCATCCTCCTGAATATTGAGTATATATCTATATATGTATATGTACTAGATGCACAGCAAGATGCCCAGCCACTCTAAGGCAGCAATAATTCTGGTCAGATGTCATAACAGGATTCAGAGGAGATTTTACTGACACAAGTTCTGGGGGTCCCAAAGTAGCAAGGATGTGGACTTGCTGAAGCGAGTCCAGAAGGGGGCCATAAAAATGACTGGAGTGATGGAACAATTCTCCTATACAAAAAGAGGCTGAAAGAGTTGGGACTCTTCACCCTGGAGACGAGAAGGCTCTGGGGAGACCTTAGAGCAGCCTTCCAGCACCTAGAGAGAGCCTACCAGAAAGCTGGATAGGGACTTTCCACAAGGGTGTGCAGTGATATGTCAAGAGGCAATACATTTGCTTTAAAATGAAAGGAGGAAGGTTTAAGTTAGACACTAGGAAGACAAAACACAGTCACCATTACAACAGTTTATGCTGCGCATTTCTGTTGTCATTTTAATAACATCATACTTGAAAGAAGTTGTCATAAAATAAACACACAATAATGTCACATCTGAGGCTCAAAATTTTCATTTTAACCAATAGCACCTCTACTTTCACGTTAGGTTTTTCTTTCTCATTGAAACTGGCAGAAATACTACCTCTCAAAACCATGGAGAGTTTTCATGCTAAAATCCTGCTATTAAAACTTTCTCTGACAGGAAAAACGGATAATCTCTCTGTTGCTGAAGCACATTCTCAGTTTGCATAAACAGAATTCACATGTTCAATTGACCCAAATACTTTAACACAGAACATGCCTGCCCTGGAAGGACAAACGTAATTTTAATAAAATTTAAAGTACCTTTGCATTTTCTTTACTTAAAAGCCTCTCACACCTCAAAAACCCAGCAAGACCAAACTACCACACACAAGAAACCCACCCATATAATTTTTAAAAAAACACCACAAAATCCCAACAACAACAAAAAACCCCATAACCAGAAAATAGACTACTTCAAAGAGCCAGAGATGTCTGAAATTTTCCATGGCTAATTCTAGGATCTTTCTGCAAAATGCTTTGTAATTACATTTCAAAAAACACAGTTCTCTCCAAGGGAAACTAGAAAAATCAAAACCAAGTATTGATATACAAAGTTTATCAATACTACTGAATCTGTTCTACTTGCACAACATTCCATTAAGTTTTTATTTTCCAGAAACTTCTGTTCTTAATAAATATTATACAGCAAGGTATATTTCTTGAGTCTGTTAAGTACATATTAAAACACAGTATCTTATTATCATAAACCCAGGAGTTGCTAAAACCACATATCAAATTATACTTTTCAAGAGAAAAACCAAAATTTAAGTTTTTTATGTCTGTCTACCACAACAGACAAAAAACCTGTAAGACTGTTCATCTATACATATATATATCTCTACGTTTTGATTTTGTATCCAAATCTTGGTGCAACCCAAAATATTTTCAAAGCCAAAGCTCAGACTTCACTTTTGATTATCAAGGAGCTATTGATTTGAAAGGTGAAAAAAGTAACAAGTCTGCAGCAACTAAGTAATTGCTTTGATGTATACTTATTTATGAGACACTGCAAGTAAGTAGCAGAATAAAACCTTTGGTAAACGCTGCAGTACAAAAAAAGAAGCAAACTAGTACACAGAAAAAGGAAGAAGTACAAAATCACAGGTGACAGAATAGTGTCAAAATGCAATACATTAAAAATTAAATAGAAAAACTATAGGTATGAACTGAGAAAACACGTAATTATGTAAAAGGTCACAAATGCTAGGCAGAAGAGAACCTATTGAAACCCTGAAGCTGGTTACATTCTGGGCTTCCAAAAGCACTTCTACCTCTCACAGAAGTACATGTGTGTTCCCCTAGTTCAGTGCAGATTAAATCACAAGCAAATGCACTTTTCATATTACCTCATTTCATGTATCCCCAAGTCTCAGAAGCTGTTCATGGGTCAAAACATTCTTTTTCAAAGTACTTATAAGTCTGTTTAAACAAAACCATATAAAAAGACTTTTGCATTCTTTGTGCTGTAGGCAATCTTAATTCCAAAATACCACTTGTGGTTTATGTTTTTAAACATTGAAGTAAATTGTTTGCAAGAACAGGCTATTTACCTAAGTGAATTCACACTTGTAGGAATATATTCTGTGTTAAAAATTTAGAATAACCAGCAACACATGGAAGCAAGTCATGGTCTCTGTAGCAACAGCAACCTAGCCAAAAAGCTTGTAGAGAGTAGTAAACACCACGATAACCAGCATTCTAAATATGGCAAAACCACATAAAAAACACACTATACAGAAGTGAGCAGTATGTTACCTAGCATTACACAAAAGAATTATTCATCAGGACAGCAGAATACTCTTCCTTTGACAGCAGTAAGAAATGGCCACTGCTATTAACACAGTGGTGCTGTCTCCCCCATCTCATCCTCTTGCACCATAAGGAGAACTGCACCTTTGCAAAAAGTACCAGCAATTATACCTTAAGTAGCTCCTTCCTCTATTTAATCCTTTATTCTTTCATACCTACCATATTGTTTTCAAGTTTAGTGTCTCAAATGACAACTTACAAACTATAATTTTGAAAAAAATGGTTAGTTGTGGATTGTTTTTTGGGTTTTATTCCAAGAATGCAGTTCTATTTTAATTGCATACAAACTAGTAAAGTTACTGCACATGAACAATTTCTTTAATAAAAACGTGATACTTAATGTTAGGTAAAAGAAATATCACAAACTATCTGGAGATGGCAGAGTTATTTGTACAAACTACTTTATATTCCAAAAGTTCAAGCCACAGAACAATCCATAAAAGCTTTGGTTGCCTACAAACCATACTAAAAATCTGGGGAAATCCTTCCAGCTTCACAATTAAGTTTCAAGTTGGCAAACACTACATTGTACTCAATCACAATCCAGTAAACAGAACCATATACATAAAGACTGATAGAATGATAAAGAAAGAATGAAAGAATGATAACTAATATGGTACGGAGAATCTGTTTCCTGAAGTAGACTACTCCCAGCCCAGTTCCTGAATCTTTACAGGCACTGGAAAACAAAAACAGACACTCCTCCCCACCCCTGGCCCTACCCCTACAGCAAATGCTGTTTCATAGGAATTAAAGTCCCAGTCAATAGCCCAGAGAGAGTCAATTATCAGGATCAGCTGTTTTTTTAAATTGAATTGTAAAATAGGATGGAATGGCACTGAGTACACACTGAAGAGCTGTCTGTTCCTAAGATTTAATATATAGCATATATAGCAGTAGAAAAAGTTTGTGTCATCAAAGTATTATAATATACCTAAAAGTACCTTAGAAGTGTTTCTTCCATGAGAAAAGGTTTGTTCAAGATAGTAGAAAAACTATTTCTTCCAGATGTAATTTTAAGACTTTATGTGGAAATGGCAGAAAATAGTCCCTTACCTAATGACTACCACGTCCTCTAAGCAGAAAAAAACAAAGAAGTTTTTGGTGGAAGAGAGCCTAATTCATAAATCTAAAACAAAATGAAAAGGCTAACAACCCTCACTCATCACAGAAAAAATACTTCTGAAAAGCAGTTACTGCCTTTCCCTTATGCCATTTACTATAAATATTTATAGGAGGGAACAAAAAAGTCAGCTGATTAGCTTACCCATTGCTGCATTATAGCAAAGTGCCGACTTTTTGACGTGACTAGATAAACTGCAGCCTGTAATCAGACATTCAAAATGACATACATAAAACTTCACAGACAACTGAAGCACCCAAGTCCTTTACAGCAAGTCGCCAACTATGTCATGCAGCCATTAGCACCAGACCACTTGACTGCAGAAACAAAGTCTGACAAAAGTAGCCAAAAAAACTAAGCAAGCAAGCAAGAAAAGCATTCGCTGGGAAAGGAATAAAACCAGTACTTTATTTCTTGCCTGGAAAGAAGCTCCTAGAAAGTTACTAGCATTGCAGGGATAGGGTTACTTCAAGATATGACAAACTTGCTGTCATCGGGGTCACATAGTATCACGTTCAAAGCTTACGTGATTTAAGCTGACAGAAATACTGCAAAAGTCAGCTACTTCTTGCCCAGCCAGCATAACCCTTTCCTCAGGTAGAAGGTGAATGGCACGGGTAGGGAGGAGGAAGCAATAAAAATAGCCAGAAGGAAAAGGACAACAACAGCAGAAATAGCAGAAATTAGGTATTTCCCTACACCAAGAACTGAACAAGAACTGGAAACCTAGGAACTTTTGCCAGCTATTGGAAAAGCTTAATACAGTGGTAAATGTCAGAGGTGCTTTCTAGCACATAACCCAGTGATTACTCCTTTGAGTTACACTGCCTTGATGGTTAAGGTCAGTCTGTAAAAAAAAAAAACAAAAAAAAAAACAAACAACTCAAAGATCTAAACTTCCTAGTTCACTAACTTCATAAAGCAAACGTGCAATCCTGGTTTTAATCCAGATTTAAAAAACAAAAAAAAAAAAAAAAAAAAAAAAAAAAAAAAATCCATGGCTCCATGTTGCAGATTTATCTACTCAAATACACTTCAAACCTCACTGGTGTGCAGAAACACAATCATAACAACCCATAATACTCCCAGTAACTGTTCTTCCTTTCAAAATTTTGATTTGTACCATTTAGCTTATGAATTACACTTGGAACAATTAAAACACTATTACCTACCTCCAGTATGCAATGCCTGGGCACTCTGCTTCTCAGTAATTTTAAGTCTTATAAAGGATGTAGTGGAAGTTTTTATGTGCCTTGTAATATAATAAATGTTTTAGGGTGACATTTGCAGGACTGCTGCCTCTGCAGCTGTTGCAAAAGAAAGGAAGGATGTTTGGGTGCTCCCTCCTCTCCACTACTTGCAGTCTTTCTATGGTTACTGCATTTCCAAATGGAAACCATGCTGAATCACCCATGTATCCAGGACACACACTGGATAGTTCATAATCTTCTTGATGCTTAGCACAGGATATTGGACAGTTAAGCTTTGGACAGTGGCAGGGCCTGAAAACATACCCAGAGATACACTGCTGTTATAAATCTCTCCTAAGCACTCACACAAGCAGCTGCCTTGTTCAGCACTCTCACACTCACTCCAAGAAACCTGACTTCCCCTCTAAGTTCTTTAAGGAGTTTCAACACTTCAGTAACTGCAGTTATACTCCAGAGCCAGGGCGATTTGATTAGCATTCAGTGCTTTTGAACATTAGCAATTTGTATCACGGGAGCAATCTCCTAAGAGCAAGCAGCTCACAGATACTGGAATTCAAGGAGACGTTTCAAATAACATACTGAGAGCCAAAAAACAGGTGATCCCCAACTGTGTCTAGCAGAGTATCACCATGAATTCTAAAGACTGCAAAGTTTCTAATCATGTGACACACTGCTGACAAGCTGTTGAGTGAAAAGCTGAATGTCTTTCCTAAACTAAAACCTAAACTCAAGGTGAAATAGCAAACTCCTCCTGTAAGCTAAAAGGACTTCACAGAGCCCTTCACATTTTTCTCTTTACATGTAGCTTCTTACACATAATTTCAGGGAAGCTGCTCCTAGCAGCAGTAAGATAACTAATACAAATCTTCTGCCAAGACAACTGAATATTTTTCAAGCTCAAAAGCTTAAATTTGGAAAATAATCTGTGATGTTCTTAAACATGAAAACTAAAATATGAGCACTGCCACCTCCAACACCTGAACTGAAAGTTAAGCCTGAGATGAGGTATCACTTCACACAAACATATATCAGGTATCACTTCACACACCACGACTGCTCCTTGGTTTAAGATAATTTCCACCCTTTTTGAAAAAAAATAAAGACAGAATCCTTTTTTTTTTTCAATGAAACTTTTTTTGAAAAAGATATTTTGCTTAATTTATACTAGTATTAAAAAAAAATCACAGTAGTGAACTGATACATCAGAAATTATGTGTTAAAATTATCTTGACATTAAATATGAAAGTCTTCTGGAAGGGAGATTATTTTGTCACTCCCCAGCCCAAGACATTAAAAGATATTCCAACACAGACTTGCACTCACAACACACAGGATGCGGTATAACTTCCAGAAAAACTCTTTGGTCGTAAGTATAATTTCAGTGAAGGACCAACCAAAAGGTGGGGCTATCCCATCAGCAACATCCAGTCACTCAGGGTTACACAAAATACACACTGAAAGCTACCTGCAAAACAGAGAAGCTTTTTTATGAAAATGACCTATAAAGGTAGTGCAGACACATATTTCTTTAAAGAAACATCATTCATGGGAATACAATGAGCTAATTTCCGAATGCTGGAAAAACTAATACACAAAAATCAACATTCACACCACAAGGCCATACAGAAGTTTCATGGTGTTTTTACACCATACAGGTACAAAGGAATTCACTTTCCACTTATATATACTATTGCAAGATTATTGCTCTAAGTAACCACAACAGTTCATCCAGCTGAGGATTTCTAAATATCTCATGCAAAGCTTGGTGCCTGAAAGCAGTTTACACTGAAGAAAAACAGTTTACAAGAAGAAAAACACCACCCCACCCTGATGTGCAACCTATTTCTCAGACCTCTGTCGAACTGGTACCTACAAAGAAACACGACATTCAAGCTCATATCTACTTCTATCTCCTGGAAAAAAAAAAAAAAAAAAAAAAAAAAAAAAAAAAAAAAAGCAGGAAAAGGAAAAAAGGAAGAAAAAAAGAAAACGAAAAACCAAACCCCAAATGTTAACAAACTGCTACCCACAGAGCGTTAAGTCAAACAGACGTTGGGCAGGCCAAGTCGTACGGCACATGAGGCAAATGTTATCCCAACAGCTGTATTTTCCACCCAGTGCCCATGCTGGGCTGTCCCTCCGGCGGGGCAGCGGGGGCAGAGCCGCAGCGCTCGGGGCCCCCAGGGCTCCCGGCAGCCCTGGCTGATGCAGGCCCGCCCGGCAGGGCGGGAGGCGCGCACGGGCCGGCTGCGCACCGCACGGAGCGCGGGGACAAGATCGTCCCGCGCCCGGCGCGGGGCTCCGTGCCACCGGCGGCTCCACCCCGTGCCGCGGCAGACCCGACCGCGGCCAGGCCCGGAAACCAGGACCGCTCCTACCGTAGGGCCTGCGACCATCTCCGCGGGCGAGAGCGCGCAGGGCGCGGCTCCCGCAGAGACCCGCCGCGCTCGAGCGGCCCCGCACGCATCCACCGGTGCCCACAGGGACGCGCCCGGCAGCTCCGGGTAGCCCCGCACGGAGGAGCCTCGTCCCG